ATGGCGACATTGGTACACAGACACCCCGAACAATATCTCCACAAGAGCCGTTTTACTCGGTATTTACAGTACTTTCGTGATGGCGGACCCTCTTCTATGATGATGGTTGATGATGGTGATCATGATGATGATGATGCATGATGAAGGATGATGATGGATGATGATGACCGATGATGGTGGTGGATTGAGGCGCCAGGTGGTTGGTAGGAGGGGGTGGTGGCTAGTAGTAGTAGTAGTAGTAGTAGTAGTAGTGGTCGTGGTAGTGGTCGTGGTAGTGGTAGTGGCAGTGGTAGTGGTCGTAGTCGTGGTGGTGGTGGTGGTGGTGGTGGTGCTGGTGGTGCTGAAACAAACCAAATAGCAATGTAGTAGAGTAGGAGAGTAGCAGAGTCTGAGAGTGGTCGTAGAGCAGCAGAGTGGCAGAGTAGTAGAGTGGTAGAGTAGTAGCATATATAGTCGCGTAGCAGCAGTAGGCGTCGTCGTAGGATGATGAGCAGGAGCAGGAGGAGTGGTGTGATGATGAGCGCTATTCATTCTTTTGTTATTCTTCGGATGGTGTTGATCATTAAAATTATTATGCATGTTTTGTTTTTATTGTTATGACTCGCTGCTACATGACCTTTAACAGCTTTGCAGGAAGATTGCATCTACTGTCATTACTTGTTAGTATTCGCAATTTTTCGCCACTGATGCTGGCCTTGTTATCAGCATCCTGACTATGAGTCACAGTTCATGTTGTAGTTGTGTTTTGCATTTGCTGGTGCTTCCGCAGCTAGCAGCTGTAGTGGGGATGATAGGTGATGTCAGTCATGGTGACGTACAGCACCTCGTGTTGCAACACTGTCATGGCTGTGGCCAAGGATTCTACCGTCGGTGCAAAGCTGAGAATCACCGAAGGGTGGGCATATATCTAAACGAGATTGTTGCTGAGTGGCGAAGTTTCCGAGGACAAGTCATGATCGCAGAAGGCTTCGGCACTTTCTTCCTCTGCTATGTGCCCCGGCCGACGGGGTCTATTGAAGATCGTTTGTATACTTCCCCAGTGTCTCGTCGTTTGGTGTGATTCGCAAAATGTTGTCAGAGGATGCCGACTCCGTAGCAGGGTTGTGGTCTCTTGGCATGCGCTTGACAGCATCATCTCTCCACGACCAGGTCGTGCTCGGTAGCAGCGTGACCTTCCCGGTGGACGGTGCAAGGTCCTTTCAGAGCAGTCAGCGGATCGTATTGTTTCGAGCCGGGCTTTCTTTCCAACTCAAGTTCTGTAGAATCAAAAAAGCAGGTCCAAGCAGAACAACCTCTCTGGGCTTGCGTGACCCGGCGCGCAGTAAGTGCCACGTGTCCTTCTGCCTCTGCTGTAAAGCAGAGGCTCGCCCTAAACCCTAAACCCTAAACCCTAAACCCTAAACCCCTAAACCCTAAACCCTAAACCCTAAACCCTAAACCCTAAACCCCTAAACCCAAACCCAGGTATGGTTCGGTCGAGCTTGCAGCCACGCTGTCGGCGAGACGCCTAGAGTGGTTCCCATCCGCACTTCTTCGTCTGTTCGTGCTTGTCCTGAAGATCCTGGCTTCTAAGGTGGGGAACATCTCTGGTGCGTTGATGAATCCCGCCAGCGCAGTGGCTTGCCGTCGGATTCGGAAGCTTCGGATTTGGCTCAGGGCAAGTCTTCGACCTCTGGGCGCAGTGTGCATCGTGTGTGAGGTGGCTGCCGCTATGGTGGGGACGATTTCATCCAAAACGTCCATCGTGGTGTACTGCTTCTACCACGTTGCTCCCTCAGCTGTGTTCACCGAGACAAACCTGGCACCGAGCCTGTCTGCACTCAGGCCGGTGCAGGCGTGTTGGCGGCTGCCTCCTTCCTGCCCTCTGGCTGCCTGATTGTTCCTAAACTCATAACCGTACACATGCCCCTAGACCCTAAACCCTAAACCGGTGGTGGCTGGTCACAGTGCTATCATTATTCTGTGCTCGCGTGCTACGAGGGCTCTATATGGGTTACTATATTATGGGTTCCGGAAGAGTTGTCATACAGGGGTACTATAGGGTTCTTCTTAAAGGGATGATACAGTTATTACCTACTGTCCGATATCTTCTGCTGATGATCGTTTCACCACCACCACCACCATCATCATCATCATCACTGTCAACATCAACATCAACATCAACACCATCATCACCACCAGCACCACCAGGCACAGTACCACCAGCATCGACAGCACGGAAGCAGCATTCGCAGTGCGGCCGTAATCAGCCATGCAACACCGGCAACATCGTAAACCCTGAACCCTAGACCCACAAGCACAACACGGGCTGCAGGGCTTTCGGGGTGAAGGTCAGCTTTCCACCTTCGGTTGTGAGGGGCTTCCTTTCACGGGTTTCTTTCAAGGGTTCCTATATGTGTTTCCTGTATACCACATGAGTTCCTATGAGGGTATCTAGGACAGGTTCTATAATGGGTCGCCGTTGGGTAGTTCTCTATATTTGGGTCTTTTTTCAGGTCCCCAAAATAGTAAGGCACCATTACAAAAAGGACCCCCACACGAAGTGACCCTGATTCAAAGAACTGCCCCTATAGCGGTCCTGATAGAATTCCATGGGGGAATTTAGGCACCCATGAAGCGAACCCGGGGAGCTCCCGAGCAGAATGAGTTTAGGGTTTAGGGTTTAGAGTTTAGGATTTAGAGTTTAGAGTTTGGAGTTTAGGGTTTAGGGTTTAGAGTTTAGGGTTTAGGGTTTAGAGTTTAGAGTTTAGAGTTCAGGGTTCAGGGTTTAGAGTTTAGGGTTTTGGCAATTAGGGTTCAGGCAGTAGCGGCAGTGAACAGCAGACGACGCGAGAACTAATCCCTTCGGCCCTCGAGTCCTCCACCCGAAACCGTAAACCCCCAAACCTCCAAAACTCCAATCCCTAATATAGGGGCCTAAATGTAGTTACCAATACTGTTTTGGGGGCTCCGTGTTATAATTATTGTATAACATCCCCCAAAACCTTCTTCAACTGTAATTCTTAAGGCCCCTACATTAAGCCCACAACTCCAAACCCCAAGCCCCAGCACACCCGAAGCTCAAAAAAGTACCTGCCCAGGCTGACGCATGCGCAGCTCTACGTCAAGGCCCGGCCTCCCTAGGAGTCAAGGGCCTTTTTAGAGCCTTTGATTGAGGCCTTAGGATCCGGGTTTAGGGTTTAGGGTTNNGGGGGGGGGGGGGGGGGGGATCCCTTTCGGGGTCGTTTCGGTTTTGGATTGAGGCACAGTTTCGGATTTGTGAGGAATTCGGGCAGTGTGGGGTCCGGTGCCAGCGTGAGAAGTGTGCGGTTTAGGGTTTAGGGTTTAGGTTTTAGGGTTTAGGTTTTAGGGTTTAGGTTTTAGGGTTTAGGGTTTAGGGTTTGCGAGGGCAGACATGCAAGGTCCGGTTCGGCGGCAGTATTGCTCCATATCAGGGCCCCCTCAATCACTGAGTCTCTCAGTTGCATGACTCTGCATGGTCACCTGGTTTGAGCCATTCATGGGTTCTTCCCAAGTAGTTTAGTTGAAGTTACCATCGTAGGGATCTATAGTAAAGAACATGGCTTCCTTATTATGATAACCTAAGCTCTTCAGCAAGAGCCCAGATTCATAGTCAGGATGCTCGGGATGCAGATGAGCTCAATCGGCAGATCTGATCTGCAACGCGTACTCTGCTGCATGGGCATTGAAAAGGGCTTGCGCTTGCGGGAGTCTGCTGCTTCTCAAGCGCTTAAAGGCCGTTCTTACAATGTAGACACCCTAAAACCTGCAGACTAAACTCTAAACCTAATCCCTGCGAATCGAACTGACTTTGTAAGAGTCCTTCAAAGGTTGAGTCTGAGGGGCATCGTCCCAGATGCTGCTTCCTAGGCCTGCACTGAAGGGACCTCTGCCGACGTGATGTAGACATGACGAGATGGTCCACAGAAGCGCGGATTCCAAAGCAGGATCAAACCCTGAACCCTAAGCCGTCTAAACCCTAAGCCCTAAACCCGAAGCTTGGTGTCCCGTTGCGCATGGTCGCTTTCGGCCCTCAGAATTGCCGAGCATGGTAGGTAGGTAGGTCTCGATTGAAGCGGCGGGCGAAGCGAAACAAGCTGCCAAGCCGCCATGATAAAAGGGTCGCGAAATGCGACCATCGTCCCCCATGGCAAGCATCTGCATATTGAGCCCACGGCCATCACGTTTGATGACATAGAGGCGAACATGAAGTCGCCGCCCAAGCCGTGTTGGTCTCTGACTCTGCCCAAACTCAGCACTTTGTTCAACCCACCACTGAACCCACCGAGGTACATCCAAACTCTGGTGGTGAGAAATCTCAGCACGTATGCCAAGCGCATCCGCTGTGAAGTTCCCAAGTCAGCCGAGTTCAGAGTCGTCACCGAGACGCTGGGTGCGAATTTGGGGGTTCAAGCGTTTAGGGTTTAGGGCCTAGCAGTTTAGAGTTTAGGGCCTAGCAGTTTAGAGTCTAGGGTTAGCAGTTTAGAGTTAAGAGATTAGGGTTAGCAGTTTAGAGTTTCGGGCCCAGCAGTCTATAGGGCCTAGCAGTTTAGAGATTCGGGTTAGCAGGGTTTAGGCTTAGCAGCTTCCTTCCTTGTTGTATTCCAGAGGGTTCAAGGCGCACAGTCGTCATCTTTGCTGATTCGTGATATGGTTTGGGGTTGAGGGTTTAGAGTTTAGGGTTTAGTGTTTCCCAATTCAAAGGCCAAGCCCCAGAGTGTTTTGGTTGGAACTCCGTTTGCGGGCTGGCTCCCACATCCGATATCCCACTCTCTGGCTGTATCTGAGCTAGGGTTTGAGTAGGTGAGTGTGGGGCTCTCTTTTGGGCATATTGGTGGTAGAGCACGTTCGGGGTGCATTTTTGGGGAGGCCAGCAAGAGGAAGCCCCACGTCCCCTCGCTGCCAAGGAACGAGATCGGCATCGCGCCTGGTCTCTCGGTGTCCATAGACGTGGAGTTCCTGACAAGGAAGCCTTATGACTACGTTGACAAACTCGTCATCACTGCCGAGGCCGCGAGTCAACGCTAACAAAAAAATACTATTATTATTATTATTACTACT